GGTCAGAAATATTGTTTCTGTGTGGTGCAAATCCTATACAGGCATACCTCAGAGATACTGTGGGTTAGGTTCCAGACCACCACAACAAAAGAGAGCATCACAAAAAAGCGAATCACAGGAAATTTTTAGTTTTCCAATGCATATAAAGGTTATGCTTACACTATCCATGGTCTGTTAAGCGTGAAAAAATGTTATGTTTAAAAAACAATGTACATATCTTAATTAAAAAATACTTTATTGCTAAAAAATGCTAACCTTCATTTGAGCCTTCTGCAAGTCATAATCCTTTTGTTAATTTTTGCTGGTGGGGTCTTGCCTCAGTGTTGATGGCTGCTGACTGATCAGAGTCGCAGTTGCTGAGGGTTGGAGTGGCTGTGGCAATATCTGAAAATAAGACAACAATGAAGTTTGTGGCATTAATCAACTCTTCCTTTGATAATGATTTTTCTGAAGTATGAGATGCTATTTGATAGCATTTCACCCATAGTAGAACTTCTTTCAAAATTGAAGGTAATTCTCTCAAACCCTGCTGCTGCTAAGTTTATGTATTATAATATTCTAAATCCCTTGTCATTTCAACAATCTTCACAGCATCTTCGATTGGAGTAGATTCCATCTCAAGAAACCACTTTCTTTGCTCATCCAGAAGAAGCAACTCCTTATCCATTAAAGTTTATTATAAGATTCCAGCGATTCAGCCACACCTTCAGACTCTACTTCTAATTCTCATTCTTTTGCTATTTCCGTCACATATGCTATTACTTACTCCACTGAAGTCTTGAATTGCTCAAAGTCATCTGTGGGGAACCAAGCCCCCAGGAAGGGGTCAAGAGTTAGGGTCCTGCATTGTGAGAATGATGCTTGGGCCTGTTCCTTGGCCTCGGGGGAGGTGACCTGACACTACCCCGGCCTTGTGTGTTATCGGATTGTTCCCAAGAGAAGGACGGGGAGGTGCCGGAGCCTTGGGGCGATGCGTCGTGACCTTGGAGTTAATCTAAATCAGGATGTTCTGTACGTGACCTGAAGGGGTGTGTAAACTTTCTTGAACAAAGACTCTCTTCGTGTAGCAAGCATTCTATTTTTAGAACATTTCACTATATAATGACAAGAGTTTTCAATAAACTTGCCTTTTGCCACCAGAGCAACTGGTCGCTCTCTCTTTTCAGTCCGTCACTGCGCGTCTCGAACCCACTGCCTCGCTGGCCGCGGCAGTCATCCATGAGGGGTTTTATCAACTTCTTGCAAACTCCTGTTAATGTTGATATTCTGACCTCTTCCCATGAATCACAAATGTTCTTAATGGCATCTAGAATGGTGGATCCTTTCCAAGGGTTTTCTGTTTATTTTACCCAGATCCCCCACAGAAATTACTCTCTATGGAAGTTGCAGCCTTACAAAATATATTTCTTAAATAATAAGACCTTTTGATTCCCAGTGAGTGTACATGCCTGGGTTGCAGGCCATGCCCCCCAGCAACCACACATTGATGTTTCTCTCTCTCTCTCTATCTCCCTCCCTTCCCTCTCTAAAAAATAAATAAATAAAATCTTTTTAAAAATAATAAGACTTGAAATTCAAAATTACTCTTGACCTCTGGGCTGCAGGACAGATGCTGTGTTAGCAGGCATGAAAACGACACCAACCTCATTGTACACCTACCTCTGTCAGAGCTCTTGGGTGACCAGGTGCATTGTCAGTGAGCAGTAATACTTTGAAAGGAGTCTCTTCTTCTGAGCAGTAGATCTCAATAATGGGCTTAAAATATTCTGTAAGCTATGTTGTAAACACATGTGCTATCACACATCTTATAGAGCACAGGCAGAGCAGATTTAGTGTAATTCTTAAGGATCCTAGGATGTTTGGAAAGGAAAATGAGCATTGGCTTCAACTTAAAGTCACCAGCTGCGTTTGCCCCTAACAAGAGTTGGCCTGTCTGTTGAAGCTTTATAGCCAGGCATTGTGTTTTCTTCTCTGGCTATGAAAGTCCAAGATGGCAGCTTCTTCCAATAAAGGCTTCTTTGTCTACACTGAAAATTTGTTGTTTAGTATAGCTGCCTTCATTAATGGTCTTAGCTAGAGTTTTGGTTAATACGCTGCAGTTCCAACATCAGTACTTGCTGCTTCACCTTGTACTTTTATGTTGTGGAGACTTCTTCTTTCCTTAAACCAGCCTCTGCTAGTTTCCAACTTTCCTTCTGCAATTTCCTCACCTCTCTCAGTCTTTATAGAATTGAAGAGAGTTAGAATCTTGTTCTGGACTAGGCTTTGGCTTCAGGGAATGTTGGGGCTGATTTACTTTTCTATCCAGACCATTAAAACTTTCTCCCTATCATCTTAAATGAAGCTGTTTCAATTTCTCATCATTCATGTGTTCCCTGAAGTAGCACTTTTAATTTCCTTCAAGAACTTTTCCTTTGCATTCACAGCTTGTTTAACGGTTTGGCACAAGAGTCCTAGCTTTTGGCCTATCTGGGCTTTCAACATACCTTCCTCACTAGGCTTAATAAGTTTTAGTTTTTGATTTAAAGTTACAGATGTGTGACTCTTTTACTTGAACACTTAGAGGTCATTATAGGGCTAGTAATTGGTCTAATTTCAATCTTGTCGTGTCTCAGGGAATAGGGAGACCCAAGGAGAAGAAGAGAGATGAGGAATGGCTGGTAGGTGGAGCAGTCAGAGCACACACATTTATTCATCAAGTTCACTCTTATGTGGGCATTGTTTATGGTGCCCAGAACAATTATAATAGTAATATCAAAGATCACAGGCCCCCATAAACAAATATAATAATGATTAAAAGTTTGAATTTGCAAGAATTACCAAAATGTAGCACAGACACGAAGTGAGCAAATGGTGTTAGGAAAATGGCCCCAACAGACTTGCTCTATGCAGGGTTGTCACAAAGCTTCAATCTGTAAACAGATAAACAAACAACCCCCCAATATCTGCAAAGCACAATGAATCTAAGTACAGTAAAATGAGGTATGCCTGAATAATTCTGTGCAGTAGCACAGAATTATTGCCCACCTTCTTTTCACCAAGATGGGTAATTCTGAGGTCACCCATTTTACAGACACTTCTTGAGTACCGTACTTGTGCCAGGTGCTGTGCTGGGTACTGGGAAACAGTGATGAGCAGAATATACAAAGGGCCTGCTTGCAGGGATTTACAGTCTTTGGGGATATTTATAAAATAATGATCAAAATAAACACATAATGAACAATAATTAGTAATCATAATAAGCTTAATGAAGGACAAGTACATGAAACAGGTTTTTTGGGGTGGGAAGGCTTGAAAATGATGATTCCCCTGAGATGTAGTTTAAGTAGGAGTTAATGAGGGACAGGACTGCAGGAGGAAGTGCATTCCTGGAGGCAGGAACAGCATATGGAAAGGCTCTGCAGTTCAGAGATGGGGGAACAGGCTGGTAAGAAAGAACAATTAAGTAAGAAGGGAGAGAACATGCAGGCTTCTGTGCCAGTGATAGAAACCCAATCCAGATTGGCTTCAGAAGGTAGAGGAGAAGACTTTATTAGCTCCCATAATTGAGAAGTCGAGAAGCCTACAGACTTCGGATTCAGCTTAAACTCAACGGGTCGTTTAAGTCCCTGACTCTCTTTGCCTTTCTCAACATCTCTCGAGGATCCCCCTCCAGGTATTTCTGGCAAGTGACACAAGAGAGCCAGCCTCCAGCAGGCGATTGTGTATCTCACGCCTCATTGGCTCAGTGGCCTATCCTTTCAGCGAATCAGCCAGCTGACAGGGATGAGCTCCTGGTTAGAGCCAGTCTTTTCCCAATTCGAGGTTGGAAGGACCGAGCCAACGACCGTAAAAGCAGGGAGGGGGAGCGGATGAGTCCAGGTTTAGATCAGAATGCACAGGAAGAGAAGTAAACCCGATAAACTTACGCTAGGAGAAGATTCAGTTTTGTGAAGCGAATTTATCAATGGGCTCGTGGGCTTTGCTTTTTGCAGAGGTGTGTCTCTGTAAAGTCTGTCAAAAGAAATGTTTCAAATGACTCTTTCACGATGTATCGCCTAATTTATAATTCATAAATTGAGATGCTTGTATTTCTCCACTGTAAAATAAGAGATTGGAAAAGTATGAAGACTGTTTGCTTCTAGGTAGCTGCACAACCACCGGTGAATTATTTTATGTCTCATCCCTGTGAAAAGTCCGAAACAGAATTGGAAATGCTGTGTGGTATAGGGGTGAGCTTAGTGGAGAAGTTGATGCAGGCATTCTGCATTGAGATTCTTGTCCGCTTTGTCACTCGGTAAGTTATTTAATGTCAGTATCTCAACTCCCACTATTAAAATGGAGATAATAATACCTAACTCATACTCTTGTTACAGTTTATAGGTGGTAAGCACTTAAGACCTGGCCTGACGTATCGTGCTACATGTGTATATGCTATTATTATGTTATAAATATAACATAAGAAAAACATACTTAAATTATAAAGAATTCAGTCAATGTGTACCAAAACACAATTCATTTATAATATTGAAAAATTAGGGCAGCACAGGGCAAATAATAACAACAAAGCATTTACTCTATGCCAGGAACTGCTCAAGCCTTTGCGGATGTTGTTTCACTTAATCCTCACAACCCCATGAGATGGGTGGTACTATCACCTCCATTTTTCAGATGAGGCATCTGAGGCTCAGAGAGGTGAAGTGACTTTGCCCAAGGTTACGGGCCAGTGAAGGCTTGAACCCAGACATCTGTAATTCAAACATAATCAGTGTTCCTCTAAACCAGCCCACCCCGCTTTCACAGCTGCCCGGGCACTGCTGCATTACCGGGGCGGAGAGGCTCAGCTCCGCCCACCCACCCGCTCTCTGGTGTGCCCTGCCCCACCTCTCTGGCCAGGTGGGTAGGAGCCGCTCCTCCCTCTGTGGGCCACGCCCACAACCCCTAGCCAGACTCAGCTCTTGCCCCCGCTTCCTGCCCCGCCCTCTGCCCCGCCCACCAGGCACGCTGACGGCGCCGACGCTGTGCTTGCGCGTGTGGTCGCCATTTTGCTCATAGAGACGCCGTTTGGAGGCTCGGTCCTTTCTTCCTTCGGCAGGCAGCCGAGGCTGCGGCTAGGCCGGGCCTGGGGTCGGGGCCAGGTAGGCAGGGCTGGGGCCCGCGGCGAGTGGCGGCGCGGGCGTTGTGGGGTGCAGGTGCAAGGGACGGGTGGGTGCGACTGGGAGAATCCGGCTTCGCGCCCCCAGCCGCCCTCTCCTCCTTCCTCTCGTGTTTGGTTCTCAGGGCCGGGGTGTGGCGCGGGGCCGGTGGGACTTCCTTCTCCAGGCATAGTTAGGAGTTCAGCCCTTATTTTGGGACCTGCGTCTAGGCAGCTCGGAAAACAAGCTCAAACCCAGCCATCACCGATCCCCTCTCGGACAGAGCCCCTAATTATAATTTGGCCGTGCTAATCGCGGAGATTTCTTTACTCCGCTCTCAAACGATATTTTTATTCCACTCAATTCACGCAGCAGCTGCTGAGGACCTTGATGCAATTTTTAGATATTCTACTTTGAAAGGTTTTCCCCCAATATATTAACTTTGGTGGTAAAGATTGTTTTAATGTTGACGCAGTTGGAGTGTTTAGCTTTTGTAAGGAATAAGGAAATCTGGAATGGAAATTTGGGGTGTGAGGGAGTATGATTTCTAATGTTTAAAAATTTAAATGCACAAATAAAAATAATTTACCCACATGATGAACCCCACAAAATTATCTTTCTTGTTTGTATTCCTGCCCTGGATTATACCATTATTATACAGTTTTGATTAGAGGAGACACAATTCTGCTCTTGATTCTCTTTTGCATAGTTCCTGATATTTTTTAAAAAATATTGATTGTATACTTAGTTTTACATAATTACCATATAATGGAACCCTTTTTTTATGCCCAGTATATCTTCTTAAAAAATTTTGCAGTGACCATTTTGGCCATATAGCTTTCGCTTTCTAGGGATAAATTCCCAAATGGAAAGTTCTGAACCAAAGTTATGTGTTCTTTCACAGGTACTTGATAGGAATTGTTTTCCAAACCAGGTATATTTACAATAGGCATTTTTCAAAATCTAGATATTTGTCAGAGACCACTACCTGAAGTGCAGGAGTCAGTGGGGCATCAAATCATTTTTTTGTGTGTGGTATTGGGAAACAGGCTGTGCAGCCTTCTGTTGTATACACAACTGTCTCTACTAGAAGTCAGACTGAATTTGGGATAATGCCTGTTGCTTAGAGACCATTCAGCCTTCAGTAAGTTTCTTCATCTTCAGGCTTCACTTCCCCCATATTTTAAATGGGTCTATTGCTAGTACAATACCTGCTTTATTGAGTTGTAAGAATTCAGAGCACACAAAAAATGGTGTTAGCCATAAGAAAACATTCTCATGGAGAGAAAAGCAAAGTTCCTGGAATCACAGAGGCATGGAAGATACTCAATTTAGGTCTTACAATTTTCATTTTATTTAGTACTGATACAAAAACATCTTATTTGAGGTATTACTAATAAAAGTAATTCTTTGTGTTTTACAATGCCTCTTAATTTGCAAACTGCTTTCAATTCCATTTGTCAATCATTGCAACTCTGAAGTCAAGCTTTATTCAACAGACATTTGTTATTTTACGAACATTTATTGGGTCTCTGCCATGTGCCAGATGCTGTTCTAGGCACTGGATGTACAGCAGAGAATAAAATAGTAAAACAAACCCCAAAACTGCTGTTCTGGACCTTAAATTCTGGTGGGGGAAGCTGTTTTTACTGAACGTCTATTTCTTGTCAGGAAGGAAAAGGCTGAAGCCTGTAAAGCAAGGTGACCTGCCCAAGGCCTAGTAACTGGTAACCACAGAAGGCACACTCGAGTCCTCACATTCTTAACTCGAGCCATCTTTAGGTAGAAAGTATTTTTACATGTGGGTGCTTTAGAGGGCAAGCAATGAACCAGAAAAGTTGGCATTTGTGCTGCCTGTCACTACTAGAACCAATAGAGATGAGGATTGAATCCTATGGGCTCTTTTTTTTTTTTTTAATGTTTTATTTTTTAGAAACTGATGTGTGGTTACGTCTTGAGTGTTCCCTACTGGGGACCTGGGCCACAACCCAGGCATGTTCCCTGACTGGGAATCATCCGGCGACCCTTTGGTTTGCAAGCCGGTGCTCAATCCACTGAGCCATACTAGTCAGGGCTCTTCATGGGCTCTTTATTCGGAAGACTAGCAGTCTGAGAAGCTGGCAGGTTATGTCCTCCCAAAAGCCATACTCCAAAATGCTATCTTACATCTCCTTTCAGCCAACCCTTTTTATAAGGAGAAGAAAGGGGTGGGTAAGTGGTTTGCAATGCAGGAAAAAAGTAGGTAAGGAGTTTGTAATTCAGGGGAAAGGTTTAATCAGTTAAAAGCTGCAGTCTAACAATTTTCCTAGCATCCCTTCATCTGCTGACCTGTGATTCTTTATCTGCATCCTGGTCAGCGGACTTTTTGTCCATGGAGCACAGTGGCTCAGATACCATCTTGATGGCTTACAGTCCTGGAGCACAAAGGTTGAATTGCTTGCAGGCCTCTTGAAGTCTGGGCAGGTCTGGTCTTACAGCTTTCTACCTGCATTAATCACTAAGCCTGTTAACTATAACTTAAAGCTAAAATTTTTAGTTCTTAGGTTCCCCCATCATTATCCCAATGTTAGTCTTAACTATCTTCTTAGATCAGTTTCTTGTGGAAGTAATCATTTTGCTGTAGAGCATTTATCTGTGGGGGGCCTCTGCCCGCAGGGCCCCCTGGCTGCCACAGTTGAGAATAAGTCTACCAAGGCATGATCTGCTTGGGGAGGAAAGGTGGCCAATCTCTCAAAGGAGAGGGGCCCAGAACCTTTTCTTCATTGGGCTTTTATTAGGTTTATTTTGCACAGGAATACAGGTAAAGCTCATTAATCATTGTCAGGCAGTAAGGATATCAAACAATAGATAACATACAAAGAACTACCAGGGCTTATTCTGAGTCAGGGTCTGTTAGCTAAAGGGCTACAAAACTTTGGGAAACAAACTTATTTTGTGCTCGGACCCTTATTAAATTGAGGGCATTCTTAGCAAAGCAGGTTTCACAGGATTTTATGTATTCTTTCTTAGGCCTGATCACCTGGGGAACCCGCCCTTTCTAGTACAGGGCTGCACCACCCTCTGTCATTGTTTCAGGCTTAAATCAGGCTGGGGAAGTAAGGCAACCGAGCGATTAGGAGACATCTCACAAACAGAATTGAGGACTCAGGCTTTGTTAAAGCCGAGGGGCAAGGGTCCATCACCCCCTTTTTCTATAGCCCCCTAAGTCCTTTTCTGGGGTCTCCTGTGATTGTGCCTGTCTTAGATCATCCCTGCCTTGAATCTTTACCGGCATTGGCTAACTGATCATGTGCTGGGGGCCAGGCAGGGTGAAGGAAAAGGGGCAGAGGTGGTATTCCTGCCAGGAAGATAAGCTTTGTTTCCTTAGTGGCTTATGGTCTGAAGGTTGTGCACTCAGCCTTAGCCATGGGGGTGTTAACAGCTTCTGAAACCAGGTAGGGTGGTTCCCAACATGTATCCTAGCATTAGAAAGTCTCTTAGGGGGTTTAGGAGTACACTTAATTGCAGATCCACATAAGGGGACTCATATGCAACAAGCTATGATACTGAAAAACATAAAAAGAAGGAAAACAACAAATGTCTCTCCAAGACCAGTAATAGTAGTCAGCCAGGAGGTTAGTTCAGACAAATCATTACCAAAGAATCCCTCTCTTTGTTTTATCTTGGACACCACTTTATTTACTTGCTTTACTTTATGCTCTCTTAGCTGTGAATTATCATTCAGATTGAAGCAGCAGAGTCCTTTAAATTCTTCACACCTTTGATTATGTCTTAAAAGGAGGTAGCCCATAGCTTCACCATTTTCTAATATGACTTCTCTAACTTGTAGTTCTTGACTGATGGCTCTAATGGCTTGAGAGGTGGCACTCAAAAGCTTTTACCATCATGCAAGCTAATCTACTTATTTCTACATTCAAAGAGGTTACCATGACTGGCATTAGAAGTATAGTTGAAGATATATAATCAGGTGAGCTAAAAAGGTACAAATCACTGTTACATTAGGCACAAGGGAGACTTCCTGTTGAGAGCCTGGTGGTGTGGGGCTTCTGAGGCATAAAAACTGTCAGTCTTCCCAGAGAGCATGGTTCCTGGTACATTTGTTAGAACATAGAAATAAACAGTCCTTCCACATATTGGAAACCACCCTGCTGGCAATTTAACATGATCAAAGGCATGATACATACCAGTGTTGGTGGTGCAATTCATTTCCACATCTGCTGAAAGCCTAACAGTTTTTAGCACAGTTGACAAAAGTTGCACACTCCATGTGGGGCTGCATTAGTGACTTTTAAGGCAAACATTTACCTGCCTTTTTGAATTATTACTGTTCCCAATTATAAATATTGGAGTAGGTTATGGTCTTAGTGAGATGCTGAAACAGTATAGTTTTGAGGCTTTCTAGGGGAATAAAAATACCTACAAGATGTGAAGTGAAAGTCTGTTCAACACAGGTTTCTCCTATAACACAAAAATCAAAAATATTTAGAATATTGCTAAATATACCCAAATCTTTTCATCTTGTTTGAAAGGAATAAATTCTCCATAACACGGGGTTAAACAAAAAGACTGTAAGTCATTGTTTTTGAAAGATGACTTTCAGGTCTTGTAGTTACTCTGGTGCTTTCTTTAATCTGGTGTGATGAATCCAGGTTTTATTCCTGCAAGTGTCACTGAGATGGGAGGTCGGGTAGTACATCCCAAGGTCCAGTCCACTTTCTAGTTGGCTCCCTGGGGGACCCTGTCCAGGTCTAGAGTAGTAGCACCTTATCTCCAGGCTCAAAGGAATGTATTGAGCCTGTGGGGGAGAGATGTCCAATAGAGCTAAGGTCATGAATCACAGCTAAAGTCTGACTTAAACCTCGTGTATAGTGCTTTACCTTCAGTTCTTGACCTACACACATATCTCCCACCCTAATCATAGCCCGGAAAGGTCGCCCATACAGAATTTCACGAGGACTCAATTCCATTTTGAGGAGCCACCCTTATCCTGAGCAGGGCAACAG